CGGCCGCAACCACCACCATGTCGGAGAAAGTGTGTGAGCACCACAGGGATAAGCGAAGGAAGATCTTCCGCCGAATATTCGCGGGGATCCTCATCTTCCTGTTCATAGTCCTCGTCACCATACTCATAATCTGGGCAATTCTCCGTCCTACCAAGCCCGTCTTCATCCTTCAGGACGTCACTGTTTACGCCTTCAACGCTACCGTCCCCAACTTCCTCACCTCCAACTTCCAGGTCACGCTCTCTTCCCGAAATCCCAACGACAAGATCGGAGTCTACTACGACCGTCTGGACACCTACGTCACCTACCAGAACCAACAGATCACCTACCGGACATCAATCCCGCCGTCGTATCAGGGCCACGACGAAGTCGATGTGTGGTCGCCGTTTGTCTACGGCACCAACGTGCCGGTAGCTCCCTTCAACTTCGCCTCCCTCAGTCAGGATCAATCCAACGGCAACATCCTGGTCATAATCAAAATTGATGGGCGCGCGAGATGGAAAGTCGGGGCCTTCATTTCCGGGCGTTACCATCTTTATGTACGGTGCCCGGCGTTTATAACATTCGGGCCACGGAGTAACGGAATTAATGTGGGGGAGAACGCCGTGAAGTATCAGTTGGTCCAGCGGTGCACCGTGAGCGTGTGAAGATGGGTGCGGCCCCACACGTTCGGCGGAGGGAAGTCAACGTCCATCTGTGAGAACCCAATTACACAGTGTCCATCTCTTAGCTCCTGGCTCCTTATCTGAGTATTTTTACAATCATCTGTTTTCAATTTTTTGTATAATTTTTCCCGTCTGAACCCTCTATTGGTCCAAGTGAATCTGTATTTTATTACTACTGTGTTCACATTAGATAAACGCACGACGTAAGGTCTCCGGAATTGTACATTTGGCTATTAATAAAGAGGAAATTATGCATATATAGTGAAAATCACGGTGATGGCAAAATTACAATCTGTAACGACGGAGCTGATAGTTTTATTATTTTCCAGAATAAAATGGGATAACAAATGGGTGTTGAAGGGAGCATCCGGCGTCACTGTCTTCCTTCCCTGAATACTTACGCGTGACACATGTTTTGGCTTCTTGTTCAATCCCTCCGTTTGTCTTTTTATTTATTCATTTTCTTTTTAATTAGATAATTACGTATAGGTAAATCCACCAAAATCCATATTATATATGTGTGCAGCCTGCTTTAGTGGTACTTTTAACAAGAAAATAATATTAAAATTTTAAGGTATATATCGGACCGCTCAATTTTAGGTTCTCATTTTCCCATTTCGTTCAAGATGCCTGCCACAGTATCATATTCCAACTGGATATATACTTTTTTGGGGAGGCTTTTTAACGGGAGAAAAAGGTCGTATTGTGGTGATTGTGTGTGTGTATATATATATATATATGAAAAATCAGCGAAGGACTTAAGTAAACTGCAAAAAGCAAACCAAAAAAAATTAAAAGTGATTAAACGGGATACCAAATATAGGGCAACATAATTAAAGGAAGAGATGAATTATTGTTGCGTGTGGAAGCTGGGAGAGGGTTTTTTTTCCCCCTTGGTTGTGTTGGTAGAGGGTGCACATGAGGGTGGGGGGGGGATAATGGGAAAGGGTGGTCCTTGTCAAAATGGGAATGCAGGCAACAACTAATGCAAATAATTAAATGAGTGAGTGAGTGAATGAATAATGGGGGAGACACATGGTGTGCGGGAATATAATGAGGGGGTGGTTGCTACACATAGGGGCATCATGTTTTTATGTAATGAGAATGAAAACGAAACGAGGAGGAGCAGGCAGGTTCCGAAATTAGGAAGCTTCCTTTATCATGCAAATCACCTTCCCATCCCATGTGCTCCCTCCCCCTCTTTCTCTTTCTTCCATGCCTTTCTTGACTCCTTCTCTCATCATTCTGGCCTTATTTCCACTCCAGGGCCTGTCTACGTTGCATTTTCCACCCTCTTATTTTGGGCCTTTCGGCCCATTACTCTGGACATGTTCTCTTCCCCCAAATCCGTGGACCAGTATTATTTAAACCTTGCCTCCGGGAATTTAGTTCGATCGCGGTCAACAAAGACGAGCATTAAACAGAGGACGCGGATGATCTCTGCAAAATCAGCCGTATAAAAAATAATTTTTCCACACTAGTCATGGGCTGGCTAAATTAGTTTTAAATTGATCTACGTTGCGATTAACTTTTGTTTCTATGCCAGGCCTTGTTTCATGTCAAGAAAACTATTCCAAACAAGCAGTTGTTTCGGCATTTTAATTTTTATAATTTTAACACACAAAAAAAGAAAATTTTATTTTAATTGCGAAAACAATTAAGCGGCGAGCTAGTGGAGTTAGAAAACCGGAGCGTACAGCTCATAGGCAAATTACGGATAATCACTAAGCTTGATTCTATGTATATAATATATAGCCGCAGACATGCGCACTGGGATGAGGATGAACTGATGTATTGGATAAAGTCGGGGAGAGCCCATTATGGGACGGACAAGGTCAATAGGGTACCATGGGAATTTTCCTGCGTACGGATGTTTCAGGGCAACCGAGTTGGGACGAGGAAAGGCTAGTCAAATCTTTGAGCGCTCCTCATTTCTGACCTCCTCCGCCGCGTTATCCCCTCAAGCGTACATATATATACACCCTTCAATTCTCCCTCCCCTTCCGACACCGCCACAAATATCCTTCCCATCTACTTCATATAACTCTCCTGTCTCTGTTTCCTGATTTGATTATCAACCATGGCTGACAAGTCTTTTCGCGCCAGAGGCTGCTGTTGCTGCCTTTTCAGCTTCCTCTGGAAGTTGCTCGTCGGCATCATTGTCATCGTTGGCCTGGCCGTTCTCATCTTCTGGCTCATCGTCCAGCCTCGCTCCTTCAAGTTCTACGCCTCCGAAGCCCAGCTCACCCAATTCGACTACGCCAACAACACTCTCCGGTACAACCTTGTGCTCAACTTCACCGCCCGTAACCCTAACAAAAAGCTCGGCATCTACTACGACGACGTTGAAGGCACAGCGTTGTACCAGGATGAAAGGTTTTCCAACACCGACGTCATCACCTTCAGGAACTCTTTCCGCCAGGACAAGAAGAGGACGGATCCCATGAGCGGCGATCTTCTCCGGCCAGCAGCTGCTGCCGCTGGATGAACTTCAAGTGTCTCGGTATAACGAAGACAAGTTGGCCGGGGCGTACGACATTGATGTGAAGCTCAAGTTCGAGATTAGATTCAGGCTTGGGGATTTCATTACCGGCAGCTACCGTCCAAAGGTCAAGTGTGGACTTAAGATTCCCTTGAGCGGTAACGGAACAGCGGCAGCCAGTGGGTTTCGGTTTCAGCCCACTAAATGCAGAGTCGACTTTTGATGCCTCGGATCGCGGTTTCCATCCCCTTTCTCTGCTTTGCATCGTTTCTGTGGTTTCAATTTATTCGTTCTTTCACATCATCCTTGTATAATTGTTTCATTCTTTCAACGTGCATGGAGTGCGCGCCATATATATATATGTACCTGTTAATTCATCAGTATGCTGATAAATGATTCTTATGCTTTATATATATAATTAATTTTATTTGGCTATATTCTTCAATATATACGTTTCTATTGCTTTGCTACTGTTGATCTATATATTAACATGCTGCGCCCGAGTCCAGAGTGAGATCGCTGAACACCAAAGTTATCAGGATCTACCTCTCCCCCAGTTTTCTATTCACGTTACCCCGGAAGTTTATGGACGTCCTTCACGCATTTACGCGCGGTGATGCATTATTAAAAAGTTAAGTTCCTTCCTATCAGAAGCATATGTGGTATGCCGCCTCCAATAACTCGTGTCATCTAAATGCGAACTGGAATGACCTTACTCTGCTCTATGTCAACCTATAATCAGCGCGCAATTATCCCCATTAGACTTAGCTTCCCCTTGGCTTGCGGTATCCAGCAATATGGCCGTTCAGTGAAGCCTGGATTCGCTACAAATTGGCTGCCATATGCCCATGGATACTGATACGTTTGTACCTTTTTAACTTGTGAGAACGGACAATAATCCAGGAACATTTCAGAAAAGAAATAAGAATCTTAGGACTTGTTTGGTTTCTTATTTTGAAAACAATTTTTTGTTTTTAAAAATAGGAAAAAAAACTTGTTTGATAATTTGTTTTTAGCTGATTGTTTTAAAAAACAAAAAACAGCAATATGTTTTTAAAAACTAAAAAATCAAAATAACTTTTACATGTTTTTTTGTTTTTGTTTTTGTGTTTCTTATTTTTTATTTTAAAAATTTTGAGAAATCTTCTTTTCTTCTTATCTACTATATACCGTTTATTATTATTAGCGACAACTATTACCTACCAAATGTGATTTTTTGTGGTTTTTTTTCAAACATGATTTTTTAAAATTACTATCCAAACAAATTCTTTTGTTTTTTATTTTGAAAACTTACTCTAAAAAATAATTTTATAAAATTGTTTCGACAAAAAAAACAAAAAACAAAAACAAACATGCCCTTAGTTTCGCTTCGTTTTCTTTGGTGTTCATCGACTATTCACTCCCAACTAAAACTCAATTCTATTTAATATTATTAGCAATAAAAAAATCCTAACTTTTCAGATGTAATTAAGCCACCAAGCACCACGCGCCTTCCAGCCTCAACCCGCAAAATCCTTCACTCATTCATTAATCTTCATGCCTTGGCTTGCTCAGGTTGATTTATTTATTATATTATATTCATCTTTTAATTTATGAGAATTACAATCAAGTTTCACAGAAAAAAAAATTATAAAAAAATCCTAATAATAACTTCAATAGCTTATAATGACAAGTTTTATAGTAAGAATAAATTTTGGAATTTATTTTTTAATTATTTTTCTTGTTTGGGACCTTATTATAATTCTTCCTCAAGACTTGTCCATAAACCGATTGCCGTTCGCCCATTCCACTTCTCTGGTTTCTCAATATATATAGCACCATCCACTGGTGGTCTCTTCTCTCGACCCCTTTTTGTATTCTTTGGTTCTCGCACGACTTTTCCCTTTTGCTACCATTATTGCCCTTTTCCACTTGTGCGTCTCTGAACATGCCTGCAAAACAGACCCAACTGAATGGGGCCTACTATGGCCCATCCATCCCACCGCCCACCTCCTACCATCGACCAGGCAGCGGAGCCGGCTGCTGTGACTTTTTCTGCTGCGGACTCTTCTCCTGTATCTTCAATCTTCTCCTCACCATTATCGTTGTCGTCGGCATCGCTGTTTTCTTGTTCTGGCTCATCGTCCGTCCAAACGCCATCAAATTCCACGTCACCGGTGCCTCCCTCACTCAATTCAACTACACCTCCAACGGCACCCTCTTCTACGATCTGGCCCTCAACATCACCGTCCGAAACCCCAACCGCAGGCTGGGGGTGTACTACGACAAAATCGAAGCCTCCGCGTCGTACCAGGATGCGTGGTTCGATTCTCAGACGCTGACGCCATTCTATCAGGGCCACAAGACTACGGATTTCTTGAACCCTGTCTTTGAGGGTCAACGCTCCTTGCTCCTTGATTCCACCCAGACTTCGGAGCTGAACAGGGACAAGAGCTCTGGGATTTATAATATCGACGTGACTCTGCATCTCCGAATAAGGTTCAAGTTAGGAGCCCTGAAGACCTTCAAGTTGAAGCCCAGGGTTAAATGCGACTTGTCAGTTCCTCTCGCTCTCGCCAGGACACCTGATGGAAATTCATCCGTCGGTGAGTTTCACACCACGCGGTGCGACCTCGATTACTGATAAATATGAAACTTCCTGTTTCGCGTAATATCATAAGCGGTCCCGCCCCTTCCCATCCCATGCCGGCGGACCCATTCAGCTACCTTGTTGCATAGTCTCTTTTTTCTGCTATTTTCTGTTTGTTTTTTCATTGGATTTTGACATGTGATGGACTCGACATTCACCATATACACTATTGCTGTATATTTTTAATATAATTTATCATATTATCATAATTATTATTATACATATATATATAGTTGTATCGGAGTTTTTGCTTTTATTATGTTTGTCTTATTTCTCTGTAAATAAAGTGCTATTTCTTTCATTTGTTTCCTAGCTGATTGCATTTTTGAGTTTGGTTGAGCGTGGAATTGTCATTAGTTTATTGCGTTTCTATTTGCTCGATCTTATAGTAGATTGAATAAGCTTGTTCTTTTTACCCTGGCCCACAACGACTTTTTGGGTTTTGATATCAGGAAATAAGAATGAAAACTAATACGGCAGGCATGTGAATGATGTAGCTGGTGTAGTTAATACTTATATTAGTCGTTGGTTGGGTTAACATCTGAGGCGCAGTATCTTCTTTTGAGTGCGTCGAAGCGACTGTCGCATAAAAGAGAAGAACTCTCGTAGAAGGAAGAGAATTTTCCAATCACCGGGCGTCAGCGTCGCTGACTTTTTACTGTGAGATAAATTTAAATTAGTTGTTTTAGTTGATATGAGATGTGAAATTTATAACAAATAATAGTAACAACAAACAGACGATCTTATATATTAGTAAGAGTGTGTGCGTGTGTTCTGAGCAACAGTATAATTCCCTTGATTTTGCACGTACGCCTAAATAGACACGGCTTTGAAAAAGGGTTGGGAATACACGCGATCTCCAGTGTTGAGATGCATACAGGAGTAGGGACGGTAGCTTACACACACACACACACATATATATAGGTATATGTATGTACGTATGTATAAATGATCCTTTGTTTACTTCGTTGGTTTGCAGCCGTCGTTAGTAAATTTTTGTTAATGGTTGTGGTATGTATGGGTAGCCCTTCAGTTATATATTGGCTTATTTTTGTTGTCTCCGTTAGCAGAGTCTGTTTGCGGCAACTTGCTCATTATATTGATGTATGATTTTATTTTATGGAATGTTGAAATTATTAGCATACTAGCCGAAAAAATAAACGTGTTACGTCTCCACCGCGGCAAATCTAGAAGATAGCACTCAAGGATAATGCAAACAAATTAAAGAGCCATGCATCGTTCAATGTAATAGCAAGTTTGTAATTATTACCTCATGTATTTAATATAAGAGTTAATTAACTAATTTGATTAGATTAAAAAAATTAACTAACCTAGTTATTTGTAAGAAATAAGTGTTTTATTCCTTAAAATACTATTACTAATCATGTATATTAATCAGGATTACTGTTTGATTAAACTTTTAACTTGTACAACTGTAACAAGGATAACATTAAAAAAAATAGATAAATATGAAAGAGACAGAATAGATTGAAGTCTTATATTTATGATCAAATTAAATGACAATCTAACTCTTATATTAACCGGAGGTGGTAGTAGTTTAAAATTGTGTAGTAATGTCAGATGTACTAACTTTATAGACATAAATTAATGGTAATATTAGAGAAGCAGACAATGACAATTTTAGTTTGTTATTAGCTTTGGGAAATTATAAAAAAGTGAGGCAGAGTATGTTTGAGCGCGCGTGTGCGAGTGTAATGCATCAGGAGACATGAACAAAGACAGGGGGATATTAAATTATTCTGACAGTATAATATGTGTAATTTGCGATATCGCTAGGTGATTTGTCCTTGTGGTCTATGAAAATACTCGCGCTAAAATCTTGTTTAACTTCCGTTCTTAATTAAACTTGTGTATTTGAGTACAAAAGGTAATTAAGCATAATTAAACTTTGAAACGAATGGTAAATTAAGTTAGATGTCGTGATGGATTGTTACTACGACGTTGTCTATTTGGGTTTGATTGATTAATATAAGTAAAATATGCCTAATGAAACGTTTCCGCTGACCAACTCAAGGGCCCATCCCAGTGGAAACACCCACCCACTTTGACGGGATTCTTTTATAAGTGCGACTTAACCTAATCGCCCAAAAACTGTCTTAATTAACTTAACTGGCAAGTTTCTTTTTTTTTTTTTTTTCAATTTTAAATATACCATAGGCTGTGAGCGTTGTTTTTCCTCATGTCTCTCAATTGGCAGTGAAGCCGTCCTGGGATTACTATTATAGCTATACCCTTTTGCATCTTTATCACATGGGAGTTACGAGATCTCAAATATTGACTGGGAAAGCAACAACAGGGAGTTAGCACTCAGGATAGTCAATTCAATCAAGAATGCTTCTTCTTCATCAGCACTGGTTCATTAATCAGAAAAAAAAAATGAAATATTGTTTGACAAAATGAATGGGAGACATTGAGGAATATGAAAAGGGTTAAGATGGATCCAGCACTCTGAAATATTTTTTTAAGTGTATTCAATACCCTAAAATATTTTATGGTACATTCAGTATCCTAAATTATTTTTTTAGGTGTCTCCAATATCAATCTCAAGGTATTAATATGAAGATGGACCGAAAAACTAAACCGGGCTTTCTATCAGAATTTAGTGTAACATGAACACCTTAACAGCAGTGCTACTCGTTTTGCTGCTTTTAGAGGGTGTTTGGATAGAAAATAAACTATGATTTTAAAAGTAATTTTACAGTATACGAAGTAAATATATAGATAAATTTGTCTCAATTTGTGAAAAATATTTTTAAAAAGTATTTCTGGAGATATCTAAACACCCCTTTAATTCGGAGAGCATTGGGTGCTCATCAGTTTTGATGAGCACCCAATGCTCATCAGATCTGGACGGTCCAGATTTTATTTTATTTTTATTTTTTAAAAAATAATTATTTTAATAGGTATAGGATAAAAAATAAAGATAATCTTCTAACTATCGTTCTTTAAAAATATATTTTTTTCTATTTTAAAATATTATTTTAAAATATTAAATATGGACCGTCCAGATTAGATCTGGACGGTCCAGATGGCTCATCAGGTGATGAGCACTGTATACGGACCCCCTTTAATCTCTCTTCTTTCGTTTTTCCTTCTGAAATGATTTTACATTTTCTTTTTAATTGTGTGATTCAATCTATATCTGACAACATAGAAGGCGGGCCGACCTGATCCTCCCATGAAACAGGACTCACAATAAAATGTATTGGGCCTTCACCCATAATGCTGTCACTACACTCACACCTGAACTTCTAATATATTACTGACATAAAAATTAGTCTGAGCCCAGTGCCATCGCATGTATAAAATCCTAAAATCCAAGTTGGCTTTAGCTGAAGAACCATAGGGCCACCCGAAAACAAATTAAACCGAGGCTCCCAGGAAAAAAAGGGGGGGGGGGAGTTTGTGGGGAATTAATGGAATTTTTTTGCCACCTAAAATTGACGGAACGTTGAGCATAAAAGGAACGCCGGAACCACAGTAATTCCTCGTAATTGGGTTGTTATCTTGATCCAAATGATATGTAAAAAGTTATTATTTTTTACACTAAAATTTATAATTACATGCTATTTTATTATCACTAAGATTTTTGAATAACCACTCCTGATTCTATTTATAAGTCATTTTTAATATATTTCACATAGACAAAGAAAAATATTAAATTTTATTAACTCTTGTTCTAAATTCAATAACCTTCCAAGTTCCAACTTTAGCCTTATTTAATAACACAATAATAAATAGAGGGTAAAATTGTATACCATACAAAAAATTTGTCTCAATGCCCTATAAATAAAACCAAAAAAATATTTTCTCTCTTTGCCCTATAAATAGAACCAGAGGAGTATTTTTTTAGATTTTATAGCAATTCTCCTTATTTGGTACTACAAGGAGAACGCAAAACACGCGTCATTTGCAAAGATATTATCCCATACAATATTTTGTTGTGGAAAAATGATTCAACATTAATAAACAAGAACAGATATTGGCGTTCGACGTCTAATAGTATAGGCTTGTTTTTAAGCATATATGTGACTAATTGGTGCTGGAGTGAGGTGGTTCTTTCTGCATTATATAGGAAGAGAGACCACAAGCAATGCATGCAAACCGCCACATCTCTTCACTCCGTGACTGCGGCTGAAACAGCAGCACATGAAAGTACCTTAGCTTGGACCCCTCCATCAATCTCATCACTTTCGAATGATAGACATCCTAATGAAGACAAGGAATCAGAATATATACGTGCCTGCTCTGTCTTCCCCACATTAATGACAACTTGACGCCTTCCTAATTAACATCTCACCTCAATCTCCTTTCAACGTCTTCCAACAATTGCAACTTGCCAGCCACTTTTGGATCCAACACTTCCCTTACTTTCATGCAGAACCCATGCCCCCCTAAAAAGAAAAAGAAAAAGAAGAGAACAAGGGTAATGCATGCACACCAGGACAGTGACCTTAACCAAAAACAACCTTGTATTTATCTCCCTTCTCTCCCTTCCTCAAAGTCTGCGAAAGGCTCAGATGCCTTCATTGAAACTTTGTCTCCATCCTAAATCCTTTTGTTGTGTATGGAGTCCGGTAATTACCCTTTCTTTTGAAAGGCCTTCATTTGTCTTTGGAGGAATATTTCTTGGCTCAATCTGGCGTTCTTGAAAGTAGTTTTATTCTCTACCGTCATGCCTTTTATTTTTATTTTGTTAATTCAAAGAGGGGGTTCGGGGGAGGGCTTAGAATTGGTTCCGAAAAGCGGCAGGGTAAGAAAGAAATTGGCACCTGACAGTATGCTGAACTTTGAATAAAAAACGAGACCTGTCACATGTATACATGGGTTTTAAGATCAATATAATATTCCTTCCTCTCTTATATGCATCACGATTTTTTCTTTTTAGTTTTCTTTGCCAGCTTCTAACAATTGGATTCACGTGTTTAAATAAAGTTAAGTTCCGCTTCGGATTCTTGATTATTAGGCTCAGGTCATAATCAGGAACAAGAAAAGAACAAGTGAGACATGTATAAACACTCTGCGTGCGTCTGTCTACTGAAATGTTATGTACACATTATGCAGAAATGGCAGGAAATGATTCTAATTTGTATACATGTATATATAATTAGTTAATTATTTGATTCTATAATTTTGATTCAATTAAAACTCGGCTCTTGAACTCTGACCCGGGTATATCATTTTCAATAATTTTGAATTGATACTTAGTTCTTGAACTTTGATTTCCTGTAACTTAATTTTCGTAGTTTTAACTGTTTAAAATGTTAGTACTTAATTACA